GATCTTTGTAAGGGGTATTGACAGATCCCTTTGGCCCTGGGTGCCATCCCTAAGTCCACCATTGTCACCCCATTCGGCTTGTACCAATTTAAGGTGATGCCGTTTGGGATTAAAAACGCACCGACTACATTCCAGATGATGTTGGACCGGCTCCTAGATGGATTCCAAGATTACACCTGTGCTTATTTAGACGACATTGCCATCTTTACCAATACCTGGCAGGAGCACCTGGCCCATATAGGAGCAGTTCTAGATAGGATCAGGGAGGCAGGCTTAACATTGAAACCTGCCAAATGTAGTATAGGCATGGCCGAGGTACAGTACCTCGGTCACAGAGTAGGCTGTGGGAATCAGAAGCCTGAGCCCGCAAAGGTACAGGCCGTAGCTCAGTGGCCAACCCCCAGGACGAAGACCCAGGTACTAGCCTTTCTAGGAAGTTTGTATCCAACTATAGTGCCCTGGCCAAACCCCTTACTGACCTCACTCGATAAAACCTTCCCCGCCAAGTAACGTGGACCCCGGAGTGTGAGCAGGCATTCCAAAAACTGAAAGATGCCCTTATCAATGCCCCTGTCTTTGCCACTCCCGATCCAACTAAACGGTTTCTTGTTCACACAGATGCTTCTATATTTGGATTTGGATTGGGGGCAGTACTAAGCCAAGTCGGGGCCGATGGCAGAGGACATCCCGTGGCTTACATCAGTCGGAAACTTACTAGAGAAGTGAGCTGCGCCACCATCGAGAAGGAGTGCCTGGCTGTGGTGTGGGCCCTAAAGAAGTTACAACTGTATTTGTATGGACAGCCCTTTTCTTTGCTCACGGATCACAACCCGTTGGTATGGTTAATCCGGGTGGCAGGGGACAATGCCAGGCTGCTTCACTGGAGTTTGGCGCTGCAGCCGTTTGACTTTAATATCCAGTACCGCCTGGGAAAACAGAATGGCAATGCTGACGGGTTGCCCAGACAAACAGACTTTGAAAAATGATCCGTGAGCCCTCCCGTACATCCCAAGCCGATCTGTGCTGGATCAAACTGTGTATGCCGGCTTGTGGGCAAGGGGGAGCAGTGTAGCGGATGGCATTGGGCTGTCCTCAAAGTTCGTTTTAAAAAATGCATTTCATGTGATTATTCCCCTATATACATGTATTGTATGTAGCATTCGCCTGATTGTTTGGTAGTTTTCATTCCGTGTTCCATACGAATGAAAACTACCGAACCATCAGACCACCCCAGAGAGAAGTGTGTACCTCATTAAGATTTCACACTCTGTAACCGCAAACTAATTGACCATGCAATCGTTACTTCGTATATATCTGGGTGGTCGCCATTTGGCATACGAACCGTGTGGCGGCGGCCATCTTACGCAAGAAAATCTCAGCGGTGTTTGGTCGTCGAGTGTCTGGAACTCAAATCGGACACTTGTTCCGAAAAAAAATAAATATCCTGAACAAGGGAATTCATACGAATACCAATTTAACTCTGGATGGCAAGTATTTCTATGTATTTTATCTGCCGAACAGAGACCAACCGCAAGGCCAGAACACATGGAGCCTTTTTCGGATACTGCATCGTGTGCGATCGGTCAAATTGCCTCTTCCACCTAACTCCCGAACCCCTGGTCCGATCTGAGTGAATTTTGAATATGTTAGTCACCCAGATCAGGGCTACCAGGGGGTACCTATTATCTAATTATATCTGACTGTTTTGGGGTACATCCAGAAATCGGTTAAAACTGCAGTATGTATACATGGATTATGTGTCACACTGAGGGGAGGAGATGTGTGGGAGGTAACAGTTACACTATTGGATACTGTACTAATTAATGTGAATCCCTCCCTTGCATGAGAGAAAGCTTTAAAAGGAGGTTGTGTGATTAAAAGTTCAGTTCTGCTCCTGATGCTGTGTGTCGTCCAGTCATTGGGATCTATATTGGGATATTCGTGGATTGTCTTGCATGTTGTAATTATTTACAGAACAGGAAAAAATGGATGGAGCAATATTAGTCCTCTCTTCTCAACTTGTAGTTCTGTAGAGACAGAGAGGTACACACAATAGTGCAGATGGCTATAGACAAGTGTGGCTAGGTGATAGATGAAAACACTCACAAACGTAGAGCCAATTGGACCTGGCTCTGGTATCAAGGCCTCAGGATCTTTTGGGGGTGATCCAAATCCCTCTGGAGATGTTCTGGATGTCCAAGGATACTTTCTTGTTCCACCATAAACAGCAAGGGATTCAGTTAGATGTAAAGTAAAATATAATTTATTAATACATATAAAATATATAGGAAAGATAAGTATGAAATAACAGCCAAAACGCGTTTCGCCTCTTGGGCTTCCTCAGTTGGCTGTGTACTAGTCTCTGAGTCCTTCTCTGCCTTTAAACGTTGGTTTCGCGGTCTTTTTCAACGTGGAACGCACCTTGCGTTCCATCTTCCTGATCGTTGGTTACTTCCGGGTTCTGTGGATGCGGACAATCACGTGGGGCGGTCTTTTCGTAGGTGGAACGCATCTTGCGTTCCATTCTCCGATCTGTGTTTACTTCCTGGCTTTGGTCATGTGAGTCATCACGTGTATAGCGTTTCGTGCACGTGATATCTAATTTGCATTGTGGAATACTCTTTCGATGGATATTCCTCTCGGGCTAATGATTCCATAGTAAGTTCACTAACATATAAATATGATAATCACTGTATGCTAATTGACCATTATAAATGTAAATATACCTGGGTAAACAACAAGATAAATGGATATATAAACAGACTCTTTGAGGTGGCAAAACATTTAGCTTTAAAATTAACAATTGGATAGCTACGTTCTTAAAGTGACAGTGCATGATTCTAAACATAACCTAATCAGTATTTAGGAATGCAATTGTTTGGCTCAAAAAGGCTGTTTTACACAGGGCTTCAATTTTAAACAAAAAAAAAAGAGAAAGGGAAGAAAAAGAAAGAAGAAGAAAGAGAAAGTAATGTTAATGGATCATGTGAAACAGAATTTTACCATGGAGATGTATATACATTATACCCTTATTTCCTTAGATTTGTAAAGTGACAGTGTACAATTACTTTTAATGTAAACTCAGCTCATAAGTGACTTGGTGCTTGTGTGCTTAAAGTGACAATGCTTTTATGATGTTCTGAAAAATATTATTATACATAGTCTTGCAAGATCTTGGTTTAATCTCATATTAATCTCAAAATAAATACATATATTTACGACTAATGGATGGAAGAGAAAAAAAAAAAAAAAAAGGGAACTATAAAAAGTGGCATAATTCGAAATCTTGATTAAGGCCGTGTGGAATAAGTGTTTTAAAATTATAAATAAATTTCATCTCTTCTTCTCCTATTTTTTTATTAAAATCTCCTCCCCTCCAATCTTTTTGTACCAATTTGAAGGCGCAAAAGAACATGTTTTTTGGTTCACTGTTGTGGTGTATCTTAAAATGATTCGATACACTGGTGTATCGAATCATTTTAAGATACAC